ATAATGCCTTCTACCTGATGGCACCTTCTGCCTAACTGCTCTCTCAGCATAACCTGGACCTGACCACCCTCTCTCTGGCTGACTGACTTTCCTCTGAGCTCTCCTTGGCACCATAGACCTATATAAGGCTCTGACTTTACGGGACACCACCAGCCCTGTGTGGCTTGTTTTGGTGGTCTCCTCAGCAGGTCCACTGGCTCCCAAATCCACTGCCTTTTCCAGAAATACCTAAGGAAATAAAGAGAGGCTCAGGGAATGAGCCTTCCAGAAGCTCCTACTAACCCTCGCATGCCAGAGTGAGAGGAGAGGCTGACTGCCAAGAAGTACTGTTCCCCCAGAGTCTTGTAACTCCAGCAGGGCCAAAAGCTCCCTATTGTCTCCCTCCTCTAATTTGGATGTTTCTAAGCCACTCCCCTTTAAAGTTCAGTTTCAAAATGAAGAGGAGGAAAAACGAAAACCCTGGCATCAGACCATCTCTTTCCTCCCTCATTCCTTGTTTTTTTCTCCTCCCCCCTCAAAATACTTCATGCAAAAAAGAGAGTATTCTTCTGTGTTGAAACTTTATACTTTGGAGCCAAGACTCTCAGTGCTGGACTTACAGTTTTCTCTTTGACACATAAAGGACTTAGAAGATTTACAACAAGGAATAGCTGAGAACTGAGAACACTGAAAACAACAACAACAACAACAAATCATTGAGTTTTCTTGACCCATCAAAGAAGTGAGATGACAAAGTAAACCAATCCCCCAAACCTGGACAGACAAGTGGATTGAGAGAGATTCGGCTGCTGGATCCATAAAAGAATAAAGAGGTAATGTTGGTGAATTGCTTGAGGCTGTGTGTGGCCTACTAGGAGACTGAGAAACTCCCAAGGGCTGCAGCCTAAGGGGGCCTCACAATTTTATGGGCCTCGCTTCTTGAAACCCTACAAGTCTCTTGTGGTAAATAGCCAAGAAAAAAATTTCCTGGTGGCTCTGGCACCAGAAGAGGAAGCAGAATCATCATAAAATAGATCCAGAGCATTCTCCATGATGGAGCTCCTCCAGGAAGAGAAGAATAAGGCCATTCCCCCCTCTCCAGCCCTCTCTAGTCTTCGTGTCTTACCTAAAGTGTGGGGACACGCCATACCAGTGGAAAAACACTCATGTGGAAGTCACAGCTCAAAGAGACCTTTAATAAGAACAAGAATTAAATAAGATTATAGAATACATCCATTCTTAACAAATCTTACCACCATACTAATAGGGATTCAGCATAATAACAGTGGATTATAGCTGAGAGACTGGAAGTTAGAAACTCTGTTACTTAGTGAATCCCAAAGACAACACAAAGACAAAAACAAGGACACTAGAGGAATTTGAAACCTCTAGCACCTACAGCTGCAGCAAATATTAACATAGTCCAGATTCAAGCCAGATTACCATAAATCATCACATTAAAATCTCTTAGTTCATACAACTCAGCATGACATGTCTGTCTTTCAACAAACAAACAAAAATACTAGACATGCTAACAGTCAAGAAATCTGAAGAGAGAAGGCATGAGAACCAGACTCAGATATAACACAGATGTTATAATTATCACATATGGCATTTAAAATAACTGTGATTAATATGTTAAAGACCCTAATGGAAAAAGCAGACAACATGCAAGAATGGATGGGTAATGTAAAGAGGGAGATGGAATTATAAGAAAGAATCAAAATGAAATAGTAGAAATCAAAAGCATTCTAACAGAAATGAAGAATGCTTTTGATGAGCTCTTAGTACGCTGGACATGAGCAAGGAAATAATCAGTGACTTTGCAAAGAGACCTGTAGAAGCTGTGGATAATAAAATACAAAAATGAATGGCTGGAGGCAGGGGCAGATGTGGAGAACAAAAAATATCCAAGAACTGAGCAGTAATTTCAAAAGGTATAATATGTGTGTATTAGAAAAAACAGAAGAAGAAATGAAGTCAAAGAAATATTTGAGACAATAAGTGATAAGAATTTTCCAAAATTAATGACAGATATAAAACCTCAGATCCAGGAAGCTCAGAGAACATTAGTAAACACAAACCAGACACCTAAGCATATTAGTTTTTAAAAAAGAAAAGTCCCAAAATTAATAAACTAAAAGCCAAACAAAGCCAAAATAAAATACAAAAGCAAAGAGAAGCTTTTGAAAGAAATAAGTATGGGAATAGAGATGGGAAAAACTTACTTACACAGGAACAAGGTAAGAATTACAACAGACTTCTCATCAGAGACCATGCAGGTGATAATAGGATAGAGTTAAGTATTTAAAGAATTAAAATGGAAAAAATATTCTAGACCTCTGATCCAATAAAATTAATCTTCAAAAATGAAGAAGAAACAAAGACATTCTGTGATTAAAACCTAGGAGAATTCATTCATTATCAACACATTTTCCTCACAATAAATATTAAAAAGTTTTATAGGTAGAAGAAAAAGTTGTAAGTTAGAACTTGGATTTATATAAAGAAAGGAAAAGTATGGCCAGGCACAGTGACACATGCCTGCAATCCCATCAGATCAGAAGGCTGAGGCAGGATGACCCCAAGTTCAAGACCAGCCTCAGCAATGTGAGGCCCTAAGCCATTTAGTGAGACCCTGTCTCAAAGTAAAAATAAAAAGTTCTGGAGATGTAGCTCTATGGGAAAGCATCACAGCTTTCAATCCCAGTACCAAAGAGAGTTGGGGGGAGGAGAAGTATGATAGGAGCAAAACGGACAAAATTACAATTGATAACTAATTAAAGTAGTGACAGTAATGATGCAGTCAGCGGTCACTGCATAGGGATAAGCGAGATGAGTGACAACAGAGAAGGGAAGGGGAGGGGGCTTTGGGAATATTTTGTTTTTGGAATTTTCTAATATAAATGCAAAATGGAAGAGTCACCCCCTAACCATGGGGAGATATGTTCTAAGACCCCCAGTGAATGCCTCAAACCTCAGGTAGCACCGAATCCTAAATCTACCATATTTTCTTAGACATGTATACTTATGATAAGTTTAATTTATGAATTAGACACATGGAGAGAATTTGGAAAGGAGTAGGGAGGGAAGAGAAGTCAAGTTGCAAGAATGGAATGTGTGAAAAGAATAAGTAAGTGAGGCATGATCATGAGAGCAATGAGGCCAGAGGAAGCGAATGCCATGCTTCCTGTTTCGTAGGCAAGGAGATTGGCTCTCTGTACCCTAATTTCTTCATCTGTGATATGGTGATGGAGAAAGAAGAGGACCTAGAATACATCTTGCAAGCTTTTTTAACCTTTCTTTATTGCTATGAAGCCTTTTGACAATTAATTGACCTATGGACCCTGTCATTGTTTTTTTCCACAACCAGAAATGAAGTGCAAGACATTTATTTGGGAGGTGTAGAAAATGCCAGTAGAGAAGGGGGAAAGGAAATAAAGCCAATAAAGTGAAAAACTGGAGCTTTATCCTGCAGGGATAATATGGGACAATATAAAAAACAACTTCTCAGAATTTTCCATCTGGAAGGGTGAGGGAGCTGGGGTACTTGTACACCTACTCCCAAGGGTATTAATACCTGGCACTTCCAACCTGCCACATGGGCATCCAGGTGATGCTACTTTGCATAGTTGGTGGGGTGGAGAGTTCTCAGATTCAGAGAATCAGAGACTGGAGTTTGAAGCCAGCTGGGGCATATGGAAAGGTTGGAGGGGTACTTCTAGCATCTGCTACAGTCCCCCTTCTCACAATAATGTTTTGAAATACATAAAATAAAATACATAGGATTACAAAGAAAACCAATTATATTGAAATTCAGTTCTATCCACAGACCCCTCGGGGGACCCTGGGTTAAGAAGCCCTGCTAGGATTTCTTTTCAACGTGAAATTATATGGTTTTATGACCTAAGAGTGCAGATTGTGTTTCTCTGCCAGGAGGTGGTTGAGTAAAGCTCTGCCTACTCTAAGTAGACACTATTTCAAAGGAAAAATGCACTCACCCAACCTGACAATCCCCTGCAGCTCAGGGACTATAAATGATGCCGCTGGACTCCTTCACTCTCTTTTTATTTTTTACAGTGTTTGTTTTGCTTTGTTTATGTTTCTGTGTTTTTAATGCATCCTTTGTTAGGCCTGAAAACACTCTGGGGTACCAATTTGCCCACATCACCCTGGCAGCAGTTCTGGCCCTCTCAGCTGTCCCTGGGGAGCTCCAAAGTCATGTGTATGAAGCACCAGGGCCCCATGCAGCCACAGAGGCAAGAGTCCATCATGAGGCATCACAGTGCCAACAGGTGGCTGTGTGTGGCATGCGGGAGCGGCCGCCCCACTGGGAGCTGCACGCCACGGAGACACTATCCCACCTCCTAATGTGACTCCGTGGCTCTGTTACTCACAGCTAAATTACAGTATTATGACTTCATTGTTGAGTCCCAATTCTCCTAATTATAGCCTGGAGATCTATTATTTGATTTGGTAACACCAAGTGCTTCTTTTCTAAATCATGTAATCTCTTGTAGCTTATTAATGTCAGGTTTGCGCACACGCAGGGACTTGGTTGTTTGCCAGGCAGAATCAAATTTTCAAATTTTCGCTGTGTTATGTTACAGGGCTTTGCTTGTTACAATCTAATTATATTGGCACTGAAATACCGAAAACCAATTTATATTAGAAAGCACTTTAACTCTTTCTTTGGAGTGAATTTACATGCATAAGTGTTTGCCACACCATTGGTCTTTTTTGTTTTTTCACTGGAAGATTTCTTTTGGGGAGGAGGTAAAACTAATAGTTTCTTTCTATGAAATAGCCTGCTGTTGTCGGAGAAGACCTGTGCATGAGGCCATTCTTGAACTTGTTTGAAGCGTGGGGTTGTAAGCACAGCCCTTCCACCTCACGATTTGCTCTGTGCTGGGAATGTCATTACTCTAGATGCCCAGAAGCCCCTCTCTTGATGGGTGATGCCTCTGGAACTGTGCTCAGTACCATTACCAACCCCAACCCCCTACTCCCTTTCAGACGGACATTTCCACACTGTAGGGCCCCAAGGGATCCATCACCCTGAAGACCAGGAGGGGCTTGCTGCCTCTAGAAGTTGCTGCAGCTGTGAGATGACCTGCAGAATCTTCATTGCCTTCTTAGGAGGATCCTGCATCGATTGCACCCGACCATCAAGGTATCTGTCTTTCATTCTGTCAGTCTCCTTAATAATGACTAGGAACACTGCTCCTATCACACCTTAGAACCAGGGAGCACTATTTAAATCACCCATTGGACTGCCTTTGCAAAGGAACCCCAACTCTTTCCTGGGTTCTGACTCCTCTTCTGCCTCCTGACTCCCTTCTTTCTTTTTATCTTGGTCACAGGAATTGTTCCTGCTGATGTTGCGAAGGTAGGGAGGAAGGCGGTATCCAGGGGACAGCTGGGAACCCAGGTGAAAGGAACACCCAGAGAGCAGCATCTTGATACAATGAAAAGAGCAGCAGCATTAACATCAGACAGGTCTGGGTAAGAATCCTAGTGCCTCAGTTTCCTGCTGTGCAGCTTGGGCAAGCCATTTAATTTTTCTGAACCTCAATCTCCCTAACCTGTAAATTGGTATAAATACCCACCTCATACATTATTTTGAAGATGAATGGAACAAAGTGTTGGCAGTACCTAGAAGTTCTAATAAGCAGAAAGTGCTTAGTATGTCTCTTATCCTTGGAAGGACTTTTCCTCTTCAGCCCACCTTCCAGGCCTGTGGGCTCCAGAGGACAGGCTTTTTCCAACTGGGGACATTTTTTCCTCCATATCCTAGAGTACTTTTGGCCCTGCCCACCACTGTTCCTAATGACCACGGCTATGACATGACTCAAATTTCTGAGCTGTAAGTGACTTGTTTAGCTATGAATTCATCACACAGTGCCCAGCTTCAGAGAAACAATGAAGTCAGTGCTGTCCTTCCTCATACTCATGAGACATGTTTTAAGGCTGCAGTGGGTAGAGACTCACCCACTGACACTTCCTGGGCAGAATTAATGTTGGTGTTCAAAACCATAACTTACCTCTAAGGCCTTTGTGCATTTCATCTGTTTAATTTTATTTTTTATTATGCATATTTCAAACACATTCTGAAGTGTGTTGCAAACATTATAACTAATGCCTACATTCCCAACCATCAGCTTTCTTGGACTTGACCTTGTGTCATGTAATTGCTTCCCTGTTGTTCTGGTAGTTTCTACCCTCATGTACTCTTCTTTGATCCATTTCAGAGCCCAGTTTCTGCAGAGGGGACTACTCTTCTGAATCTGGTTTTTACCATCCCAGGTAAGTTTGCATGCTCTTATCCATGTCTATATCCACAGACTACCTATATACTTTGCTCACCTCATAAATGGCATCCTCTGCAAAAGAGAGGATCAGATAGAAGTAGTGTTCACTTATCTTGGCCTCAGTGTCTTCATCTGTAAAAGAGGAATGATGACACCTCCTTCAGGCTTGCTCTGTGTAGAGTTGAACATAGTATTTGGTACATGGTAGATGCTCAAGAAATTTTCGCTCTAATCAGGATAGGGCTGTTGATACATTTAATGTATATTTAATTTGAAATTTGTACTTGCTTCACTTTTTCATTAGGAAGAATTTCAAATATGTACAAAAATAGAGAGAGAAACACAATAAATTTCCATAAACCCATAAAGGTTCTAATGATCAATATTTACAAAACTCTCCACATTTTCTTTTTAAGTTCCAGCCAACTTTCAGCATATCATTCTCCCATCGGCTGGCACTTGGTTTCTGCACTGTGGCAGGTGGATGATACAACACAGGTACCGTCCATTGCTGGAGGAGATATTCATTTTCTAGTTCTGCAGAAGATCTCTCCCCTCCTCAGGTAGAAAGTTTTGCTACAAAGCTTTGAATATCTAGAAATTCAATTGCATTTTCCTAGTTCATGAAGTAACTTAAATCCCACTGTCAGAAAAAGAGCCCCATGGCCTTAAGCACCCTACAATGAGGATTCTTCTATCACCCTTTTTCCAGCTTGAAAAAAATCTTGACCATGTCCAAGATTCAGCCCCTGATTCTCCAAACCTCAGCCAAAGAGGAGCAGAGATACAAGGTAGATCCTGTGTGCACTTCTCTGGAATGAAGGCTTTGAAACACGTTTTATAAGCCTTTGCTTGGCTTCTCTTATTCAGAGAACCTGGCCTATTTCTCCCATAGTGCTACATCTTTGCCTAGTTTGCTCCCTCTGCCTGCAATACTCTCCTGCTCCATCTCATTTCTGCTTAGAGAAATTTAACTCATGCTTCACATCTTGATAGAAAAGTCGTCTGCTCAAAGAAGTATTCTCAGATCCATCTGGTCAAAATTGCATCTGTCCCAACTAGCCTGGGAGCAAATTGCTCATGATATTTCTATCTAGTATAATCATATGTTCCAATTTGCTGGGAACTGTCTTGGTTGGTGCCTGTTGTCCCAACATTATTAATAACATTCTTTAACTCTCAAAATCATCTGAATTGAACAATATGGTATGGTAGACATACCCTATGTAACCCCCAATGAGTCAGGCCCCTTCAGAATCCCCTCCTCTTAGATGAAGCAGAATCTGGGATTTGTTTCTGACAAATAGAATATAGAAAAGGCAACAGGTCAGTCATTCCTTGATTATGGTACCTCATATGAAACTCTATCTTATTGGATTAAAGCAAGATTATTCTGCTGGCCTTGCAGAAGCAAGCTGCTGTGGTGTGAACTGCTTGGGGAAAGGGCCTCAGGAACTGTGGGCATTCTCTAGGAGCTGGAGGCCTCAATAGTCTAGAAGAGAGGAGATGAATTCTGCTGGCAACCATGTAAGCAGCAGACCCCTAGCCTAGAAAGGGGTCTTGGCTGTAGCCTTTTGAGGTCCTAAGAAGAAGACCCCATGCCCAGACTCCCCTGATCCATGGGCACTGCAGTGTTATTTTAAGCCACTAAGCTTGTGGTAATTTGTTCTGCAGTAATAAGAACTAATAATATGATTGCCCTAACAATAGTACTAACCAAGAGCTCCAATGACTTTCTCCTCCTGACACACTGAGCACTTGGGTACATGTTACATTCATCTCTCTAGTTTCTCTACATTCAGGAAACACACCAGGCACTGTAGCACACAAGTTAAAGGAGCAAGATCTGGGGATTGAATGCCTGTGTCCAAATCCTAGATCCATCACTGACTGGCTGTGTGACTTTAAACAAATATTTTAATCTCTCAGGGCCTCAGTTTTCTCATTTGCAAAATGCAGTTATAGAAAAAGTACTTTCCTTCTATGAGGTATGATTATTGTAAGGATATATTGAATTAATGTAAAAGCACTTAGACCCATTGGCACAGAGCACTGGGTACTTTGCTGATACTTATGCTCTTTGTGCCACTTAATCCTTATGTCAAATATGCTATAATTATCCCCATTTGCAGATGAAGAAACTGAGGCTCAGAGACATTAAGTATCTTGCCCCAAATTATACAGCCAATAAATGGAAAAAAGACTCAAACCAAATCCATAACTGTATTCTTTCATCCTGCCGGTACTTGCATCTTTCTTGTATATTTTGGAAAAAACAAAGAACACTCTCCTCAGGATTCTGTAATAGATTTCTACAAGAATTAAGGGTTCAAAGATTTCAAGTTTGGCTTTTGTTCTGGAGCCAATTTCCAGACATGGGTGCATTTCTAGAAGCACAGGGAGCAGGCAGACAATTTAGGCAGTTGTGTGGGATGTGGTGACCTATAAATGAGCACGAGGTCCCATTAAGTTGATATTCCACCCAACAAATGATGAGGGACTTTTAAACAATTCCAGTCTACTAAAAACTGGATATTTGCATAAGTGCAGATTATTGGGACCCATAGATAATCTGCTACCTGCTCATTTTTAATGTGTTTGTGAACACTCGGGAGAAGCTCATTAATTGTAAGTGTCTGTAAGCTTATTGTGTTGTAAACCAAGCCTGACAGCACAATAGACACCTATAAAAGGAAGAGGCCTCTTTGCCAGTGAGTACTAGAGCTTAGAAAGAGCAGGCATGCAAATCAGCCCAGGGATAATTGACAAGATTGCTGGGATGCACACATGCCCTTATCTGAGTGAGTTTTATGTCCCTGTCCTTAGGTAACCCAGCAGAAATACAAGCTGCTGTGATAAGGTTGACTCTAACCACATTTACCATGGTGATAGGACAGGGTCAGGCACCAAGGCCCGGTAATCAGGAAATGCGTGAAGGCCATGGCCTGACAAGGCTGAAATCCATTTGTTATTCTCTGCTCAGAATGCCCTTGCTCTTTTCTAGACTGCTGGATCCTGACCCTCCTTTCAAAATGAGTCAGCTCCTCCTTGATGCTTTCTCTGACTTCGCTGGGAAACAGGTTTCCTCTTTTGTGCTCTGTGAACCCCTTGCATGTTTTCTGGAAGAGTTCTAATTATGAAGGCATCTGAAGTGGCTCCCCTTTTCTCCATGCATAAATGAGTGCAGAACTCAAAAATTTTCTCAGATGCCCTTCAGAAATAAACATCATCATAGATGCACTGTAACGAAAGCATCAATGACTTCATACCTCTGCTTCTACCATGTATTTTACTTCTTTCTACATCTGGACCCTCATGGGGGACGTATTGCTCTTGTTGCTTCAGCTAGGGAGACACAGAACCCAAATCCTGCCTGACCAATCTCTGGGGAGCAGATGCTTCAAACATTCATTTCTTTTATTTTTAAATTAGAAATAAATTTCTAGGGGAAATTGCCTTACTAGAAACTAACAGAATATACTTCTATTTATTATATGTATAGTATTATAGTAATCCCTCCTTATTTATGGGGTTATAGTTAAGAACCCCATTGCTCTCTGAATCCAGAGACAGTACCTAAAAAAGATGAGTGTCCTTAACCCCAAAACCCCAAATCTGAAATGCTCTGAACTTCAACTTTTCAAGCATTAATGTAAAGCTCAATTTCAGATCTTTAGAAGTCTATGCAGATATTCCAAAATCTGAAAAAAATAACATCTTAAACACTTCTGGTCCCAAGTATTTTGAATAAGGGATATTCAACCTCTATTATTTTTCCTACACTGTATATACATACCTCTGGTAAAGTTTCATTTATAAATTAGGTATAATAAGAAGTGAACAGTAGCTACTCAAATAGGACAATTGTGGCAATATGAAGTAAAAATTACATGCATATACGTTCTCTCTCTCTCTCTCTCTCTCTCTCTCTCTCTCTCTCTCTAAATATCTCATTGTACTGACGCACCCTTCTTGTGATGATGTGAGATGACACAGTGACTATATGGAGAGATGAAGTGAGATGAATGATGTAGGCATTGTGACAAAGAGTTAGGCTATAACATAAAGGTGACACTTGAACACAAGCCCTGCAATTTTATGACAGGCAATCTGATAATTGAGATGGTTACTGAGTGATTAATGAGTGGGTAGATATACATCGTGGATACACTGGGCAAAGGGATGATTCATGTTCTATGCAGGATAGAGCAGGATGGCAATATTTCATCACACTACTTAGAATGGCACACAACTTAAAACTTATAAATTATTTCTTTCTGGAATTTTTCATTTAACATATTTAGACTGAGAGTGGTAGCAAACCATGGAAAGTGAAATTTCTCATAAGGGAAGGCTGCTCTATTTATATATATATAATATTATGCTAGTTGATATGGGACTCCAGCAAAACATCCATATGTTAGATTTAATTGATACAATTGTATTCCTTAGTTCAACTGCAGCAAATAGAACCAAACAATGTATAATGGCTCAGTCATAATATAATTTTATTTCTCACTTGTGGTAATATAAAGTAAATGTTCAGCGTGGTAGGCAGCCCTCTTCCATGTAGCAATTCAGATACCTGGCCTCCTTCCTTACTGGGGATCCTTTATCTTTTAGAGTATCATCCTAGTCACACCAAATGACAGAAACTGAAAAAGCATGGGAAATGGACCATAAGAGAGGTTTTCCTGCTCAAGCCTGAAAATGGCAAGCATCTTTGGACACAGTCATGCCTAATAGCAAGGAAAGCTTTTACCGTGTTTCCAGGAATAAGAGGAAATGGATTTTAGTGAAGGGCAAAGTCTGTGGTCAATCCCTCTCTGTTAGTCCCTTTCCCTGTTTCCTCTTCCTTGTACTTTCCAGAGGAGGTAGGTCATAAGTATCTACACACAGATCTTCTAGAAGTGTCCCTCATATTTGAGACATTACTAATGATTTGCATGTTTCCGAAGGTTTTTTTAAAAAAATTAAATCATGTATTTACCACTTATTTCCAGAATAACATTGGAGGTCTCTTCCTAAACATAGAATACTTGTGAATTCTTATGTTTATGTCAAAAA